GATTTTAAAATCAGGGCCGCCCCATCAGTCCCAGGCTCCATCCTCGGAGTTCAATGGTGATTAGAGTTCTGATTTTCAATCCAGGGGGTCCCATCAGTCCCAGGCTCCATCCTCGGAGTTCAAGGGTGATAAGAGTTCTCATTTTCAATCCAGGGGGTCCCATCAGTCCCAGGCTCCTTCCTCGGAGGTCAATGGTGATAAGAGTTCTGATTTTAAAATCAGGGGTGTTCAAGGGTGATAAGACTTCTGGTTTTAAAGACAGGACCGCCCTATCAGTCCGAGGCTCCATCCTCGGAGTTCAAGGGTGGTAAGAGTTCTGATTTTAAACTCAGGGGCGCCCCATCAGTTCGAGGCTCCATCCTCGGAGTTCAAGGGTGGTAAGAGTTCTCATTTTTCATCCAGGGGCGCCCCATCAGTCCCAGGCTCCATCCTCGGAGTTCAATGGTGATAAGAGTTCTGATATTGAAATCAGGGGCGCCCCATCAGTCCGAGGCTCCATCCTCGGAGTTCAAGGGTGACAAGACTTCTGGTTTTAAAGTCAGGACCGCCCCATCAGTCCGAGGCTCCATCCCCGGAGTTCAAGGGTGGTGAGAGTTCTGATTTTAAAATCAGGGGCACCCCATCAGTCCAAGGCTCCATCCCCGGAGTTCAAAGGCGATAAGACTTCTGATATTGAAATCAGGGACGCCCCATCATGCCAGGGCTTCATCCTCGGAGTTGAAGGGTGATTAGAGTTTTTATTTTCAAGCCAGGGGGGCTCCATCAGTCCCAGGCTCCATCCTCGGAGTTCAAGGGTGATAAGAGTTCTCATTTTCAACCCAGGGGGTCCCATCAGTCCCAGGCTCCATCCTCGGAGGTCAATGGTGATAAGAGTTCTGATTTTAAAATCAGGGGTGTTCAAGGGTGATAAGACTTCTGGTTCTAAAGGCAGGACCGCCCTATCAGTCCGAGGCTCCATCCTCGGAGTTCAAGGGTGGTAAGAGTTCTGTTTTTTCAAAATCAAGGGCGCCCCGTCAGTCCAAGGCTCCATCCTCGGAGTTCAAGGGGTGGTGAGAGTTTTGATTTTAAAATCAGGGGCGCCGTATCAGTCCAAGGCTCCATCCTCGGAGTTCAAGGGTGGTAAGAGTTCTGATTTTAAAATCAGGGGCGCCCCATCAGTCCAAGGCTCCACAAGCTGCGCAGTTGGCGCAAGCGGCGCAGCCGGCGTCGGCGCACCGGCGCATCCATGTGGTGGGTCGGCGCACCGGCGCACCGGTACATCGGCGCATCCGTGTTCCAGCGGCGCAACGGCGCACTGGCTGGCGCATCGGCGCAACCGAGTTGCATGCGGTGCACCGACGCACCGCGCAACTGTGAGGTGCTGCACCCATTGCCCCCACGCTCCATATATACATATATATATATATATATATACATGTACACATATACATGTACATACATGTACACATGTAAACATATAAATATATAAACATACATACAAACATACTTATATACACATACATATAAAGGTAAATATATGCATGTACACATATAAGCATAAATACACATGCTCTAAGCATCCTGCCATCATCAGCAGAAGAACAGGAACGAAAGCGAGGCGTTCGAAACTTCATACCAGCTTGACAAGCCCGATGCCAGTGCACAAGGACACCAGGGCACAAGGGCACAAGGACACCAGGGCACAAGGGCACAAGGGCACAAGGGCACAAGGGCACAAGGGCACAAGGGCACAGGGCACAAGGGCACAAGGGCACAAGGGCACAAGGGCACAAGGGCGCAAGGGCACAAGGGCACAAGGGCCCGGGAACAGGAGAGGACCGAAGCCGCAAAGGGACCCGCCAGTCGGATCAACGTTCACCAGGTCCACTGCTGTCAATCCATGTACACGCCATTACACGCCCACATACCCCCACGCAAATCGATTTCACACAGTGCGCGACGACTTAAGCGGAGCACTTGTAGACTTCAGATGCAGAGGTGCAGACGCCTTTGCGGGCTCTAGGCATAAGGATCCAGGCCCACACCGCAAGCGCTCTGGGTCAGGCCCGGAGTTCACATCTAAAAAACCTGCACACCATCGAGTGGGACGCTAACGAATCCCAGTCAATCGGACATAGTCGGCCAGCTTTGCTCGATGTCCCATTCACCAAAGCTCCGATTTCTGTGGTGTTTACTCAAACTCAGCCGTCGTTTCGCTCAATGGGTTTGTTCGGTGATGTTCGGTGTCCCACACGCTGAGGCCTAGAAGGGCCTGGATTTACGCACGCAGCAGCGCCCGCCAGGACTCATATGCCGGCTCGCGCTTGCAAAACAAACTGGTGCGGGCGCGCGGCTTGGATATATGTGTTTGCCTGAGGAATTTTTTCCTGGCACCACACCTTCGGGCACCTTTGCTCCGCCGGGTAACAGAACGCTGCAGCACACCCGACAAATTTTGTGACAATTTCTATGGCTGGCTGGTTGGTCTGGGAGGATCCTTTAACAGATGGCGAATTGGCTCGATACCGGATGCAAGCTCAGCAGCCGGCAGGAGCTGACCGGCCTAGGAAGCGCAAATGTTCTTGTGTTTTCGCTGGGGCATGGCCGTGGCAATCCGTGGCATCAACGTTGCCCACGCGGCTACGACGTGGGGATCACCGTGCTGGGACTGAAGTGCGCCCATGCAGCCTTTTTTTCGGAAGGCCACCGCTCGGGACAGCAATTCGTCGCACCATGTCGCACACGCGAATCCTTGAGCCCTAGAGCGGCGAACGTGCCAAAAGCGATGCAAATAAACTGTTACTTGTAGCGCTTCGTCGTGCGCACGAGTCGCAGCTTTTGCAGGGCTATGGTCGAAGCCTTCCGCTTTCTGCCGCTAGCGGCAGCGGGCATCGAAGCTTCTCCTCACGTGACATTCGCAATCACTCCGGGCATCTTTTCGGGGAGGGGCGAAAGTGGGGTGGACAGGGTTTCGGCACATCCGTGTTTGCTTGGTGCTCGCGCAATGCGGCCCGGCAGGCACAAGGAAGCAACTGCATTTGAGCAAGAGCATGCAAGCGCTCGTTGGATGGCGGCCCCTGCCACGGTAAAGGTGCGGCGCCAGCGCCGGTTGCCCGCCGCCCGACACTCGCGTCGGCGAGCGGCCACATGGCGCCGGGCCATGACCAGCCAGTGCAGCCGGTGTTGTTGTTGTTGTTGCGGTAAGCAACTCGCAAGTCAAGTACCAGTGGTCGCAGTCTGGAAGCTCGGTCGTCCCGAGCCAAAGGCATGCAATGATAGAAAGGCTGCTTCGCGATGCGGCGCAACACATTGCGAACTCTGGGTCTTGGCGACCCTGCGCTGAGGAGCTCTTGGAGCATCGCCGCTGAAGATTTTGTCAGTGGGCGACTCGGGCATCCACGAGGCGCGGATTTAGGCGGAAGTGCGAGGCGGGGAGTGAGAATCGGCAGCACAAGAGCTCCGACGAGGTATGCCCGGCTGCCAGCTGCCGCTGCCAACTCCGCAAGCTCCGAGACCCTTGCAAGCTCCGCTTCGCCACGACAAAATGGTCGACAAACACATTCTGAACACTCGCCGATGTTCGCTGCATCATTCCAGCTCGAGTTTCATCCATCACTCTTGCTGCAGGGGGTCGACCAGTCGACCACGCGCATAGTTCCTGTTTCTCTGCCAGAGGAGCTCGACGTTCCCGCACCGCCAAGTTCCCTGCGGAGTTCTGCGCCTACATGTTACCGGCTAGAGAGAGCTACTACGCCGAACCACCGGGCCACACGGGCGGCGCCGAAGTCGTCCCCGTCGCAGCCAGTGCCAAGTTCACCGAAGAGACAGAGACCGAGGAGGGCTCAGCAGTCCGGGGGTGGTGGCCCCAACCCTGCCCCTGCCTCCTAAAGTTGCTTGGGCACGCGGGACTTTGCCCTCCCCGCGTGCAGCTTTTCCTGGGCCGGGCAACTGAAGTTCGAGGGAACCCAGTTGCCACACACGTCACATGGGATGAAGTCCAATCTGTTCTACACACTGCGGGCCCTCTCATGGGGACATTTTGGTTTCTCCTACAGATTTCATCTTGCTTTCGACCTGGCCGTGATGCTCCAATCTGTTTATACACTGCGGACCGCGGCTCTGATGCCGCCCTCGTGCGGCGCCTGTGCGCGTCTTAACTGCCAACCCTCGTGGTACGGTGCAGGTTGACGTGTTACCACAACAACAACAACAACCCATCAGTGGCGAAGAGGTTGGTGCCGTGCAGAAACGGAGTGCAGCCTGGTCCGACTTCGTCTTTGGTCGGGCTGCTGTTTGCACCTGTTCTGCTCTCAATGTCCGAGTCGGCTTGCAAGTGACGACTGATCGAAGCTTGATTTCTGCGCGCTGCAACCACAAAATGTGCATCGTGCACGGGTCAGTTTGCATGCCTTGTGGTCGGTGAGTTTAAGCGTGGCAGTGGATGTGGCGAAGCGTTCAAGTGCCTGCCGGCAGGTGCTTGCGTGGCACCCACATGCTGCACGTTACTTCGCACAGGAGGCCTTGAGACCGCCCTTCATGCGAGTGCGCAGGAGACACCGAGGCACCGATCCGTGTCTCACGGAGCGGCTGCAAGAAGCTGGGGAGCATCAGCGTGGATGCGTGCAAGAAACCCCTGCCTGCGGTCCCAAATCCGGCACAAACTCGTCATCAAGCGCCATCAGCTTGCCAGGAATCGCTGCATCATGTCTCGCTGCGCAGGGTGTCGAAACATGGCACTCGGGACTGTGAAGGACGTGTAAGTACTTTGCTGCTACATCCCGATCTAGGCTCCTAGTTCTCACTGTCAGGATGGGCCAAGTCGAGGCCTATCAAGAATAATGCAGGGCTCAGTACGGATATCGACTGACGGATGACATGAATCTGTCAAACTCCTTGCAAAAGCAACAAAGCTGCACTCAGGATCGCCACCCGTCTCCATGGCATCAGCAACATTGCACACCACAACCCGATGCAAGGGGTTGCAGCAATGAACCTTCCACTTGCCGGCCCCAGGCCCTGACCTTGGAGAGACGTTGGCGCTCCTCAGACAGACGTGTGTTCGCCTGGCAATCAGTGAATCAGGGGCTTCGCTTCACAGAAGCACCCGCAGCCTTTCCGGCGGCACCTCTGTGAGCTCTCGTGACAGGCGCTGGGCCAGATCAAGGAGCTGCTCTGCAGCCATGGCATGGTGAAAAAGCACGGAAGTGTGTAGTATGGTATATTGGTGATTATGGTCACTTTCGGCTTATGAAACCAATTGAAACCACCAAACACACATCCACTTACCTCGTCCATGCGAGCGTCAAACTGATAGTACGATAACAGGTCAACACCAGAAGTCAAGGAAGTGTCAACACCGGGCGTAGGTGCTGCAATATTCGGCTAGATGTGTTTCGTGGCCTGGACCGGGCTGATAAGATAGAAGCGAAGTTGCTTGGATCAAGTCGTGGGTGTCCTATACATTGTATAAACCTTCCAGCCCTTCGCTTTGCTGCAGAACCAGGCTATCGATCACGTCATCTACTAGCTGCTAGCTGGCAAAACAATGCGGCAAAAACATCTTCTGACCCATGAAGTCGTCGCCTCCTGCTCCGGAACATTTCGAGAGTAGATTACGTGCGATAGAAGTCGGTTGCCTGTCACACTCTCATCGTTGGATGGGTGCCAGCGGGCTCGGGCTCTGAACTACAAACCCTTTATGTGCAAGCACTTGCATAGCACAGCTTTTCTCCAAGCCGTCAGAGCGGCCCGTCTCCTCACCGGCACTGGATCTTCTCTGACAGGGGATGCTGCGGAGCTTTGTGGAGTGTGCCGGGGATGGTCTTCTCACTGCTTGGAACGCAAGCAGGAACCTCTCGGTTTGCCAAGAAGACGATGCAGCGGTTCCTCGTTGTCAACACTTCCGCGACAGTCTGGCAGCTGCTAGGAAGGTCTTCGAAAACGGCTGACCCTCCTGGCTGCCCACGAGGTCTTGTCCGAGACGTAAGCTTCCATGAAATCTCGCCCACCGAAGCCAAAGTCTCGTTCCAAGGCAGGGCCTTCGGCTGTAGCATCTGTGCTCTCTGCAAGCTGGCTGCAAGCTGCCTTTGCCAAGGGCACCAAGCATTTCCAGACGCGGTGGGCTTAGAAGAGCAAGCGCTCGCGTCAGTTCGGCCGGAGCCGAAGGATATCGAAGGATGCCGTCCGCTGGCAGCTGAGGCTCTTCCAGGCACGTTCAGGAAGGGCCCTCTGAAGTGACGGGAGGCGCAGACAGCCTCACGGAAAACACAGTCACGCAGCCAGGAGTGCTCGGCTTCATGCCACTGTTGCAAACAGCCTGTTCGAGATCCGATCGAGAGCGTACAAGATGATGCTCACTGATGCTCGTTCACCCGTGAATCCAAGCCGAACCGCAACGACACATAAAGCCCAATGCCAACATCTACGACGAATCGCGTCATGCAGCCCACCTTCTCCGAAGTCCATCGAGGCCCTCTGCCAGTGTCAGTGGCAGCAGCGGTGCAGAGTGGGAGGCGAGTTGCTGCACCTGGGCGCTGCCGGAATTCTCGGGTGAGTCCAAAGGAAAAAAGGTGTCAACGCCCTGCAAAAGCGCCGTCTATTCGAAGAACCCATGCAGGACAGCCCGGAAACCACGCCTGGCGATGGAGCTCCTGAGGAAAGCTCACAAGGAGTGATCCAGAAAAGGGGCTTCCAGGACTTTTCGATCGCAGTCAGGAGCCAGCAATCAGCACGTGGCGGAAGAAACCAAGCAAGAGTTTAGGCAAAGTGTAACTCCTCGTAGTCCGCACGAGAAGCTTTCGGCCCACAAACGGCCGGCCAGGCTTTGGCATCCTGCAGATGAAGTTTTGCGGTTGCCGGGACTCACATAGCCATAAAGAATCACGAATGATCACGAGCAGGAGCACCCGACAACACAAGCAACACAGCAGCAACAGTAGTTGCGTCGGTGAGTGCGATGTCCACCTGCGCCGTTGTCGTCGCCGTCGTCGTCTTCGTCGCAATCGCCGTCGTCGGCGTAGGACTGGGAAATTAGTCACAGGACGATGAGGAGGATCAGGACTTGGACAAACAGTAGTAGAAGTGGCTGGAGCAGTAGTAGTAGCTCATCAAGGGACAGTGACAGGTGAACAACATCAAAATGAAAAGCCAACATGGCTTTCCCCGAAAGGAACGCAACACAGCACTAGTACCTACAGGGGACTGCGTGCACATGTGTATGTATATATATATATACACAGAGATATGCAGTTGTGTGCATGTATGAGAGAGTATGTTCCTATTGCTGTACACATAGACGTATGTGCATGTAACACAAGGCAGTACCCACGGACGTGTACATATACATACATAACATTAGCATGAACATAAACAAATGCAGCATGCGCAAATATGTAGATATACATATACATACAAAGCATATTATGATAAATGCAAATATTATGCCACATAAGGGCCAGATACATATATGTGCACATCTATGTATATGTACAATAACGACAACAAGTCAGTGTCATATATATATATATATATATATATACCTACCTACCTACCTACATACATACATACATACATACAATGCATTTTGAGTTTGGTACCGGTATTGAGAAGCTCCCGGAGGAAAGTGTCTCGAGTTCCGAGAAGGTCTCGCAAGCCAATGACTTCCGCGAGGCCAAGCCTTGGGATGAGTCAACGGCTAAGTTGCAACCGCAGCATTTCAAAACGAACAAGCCGGCGCAGTCCGGGTCCTGAGACGTCTCGAGCACGGAGCAGTGCTGAACCGAAAGTCCAAAAGCAAGTATGTCAGTTATCAGCCAAGCAACTGGTCAGCATAGAGCGCCCGCGGCAAGATGTGCGCCTGGCAAGCACAGATCTGGACACGCCGATCACCTCTCCTGAGAAAAGTAGACCAGGAACCAGTCTCTTTCACACAGCATGTACTTGATGTGAACCTATGTGGCATGCTTGGATCATCTTGGAACTGAAGATTGGTCACGGGACGCACGGCCTCGAAGCGACTCCACAGAAACTGCGGGTGCTCTGCGAGGCTCGCGACCTGAATTGCACCACTCAGACATTGCTGTGCTTGCCTCCATGCGGTTTCAGCTTGACATATCTATCTGTGGGAAGCTCCGTTTCATCCGAAAACCACACTGCCCAAGATCCGCACACTTCTCCGCAACACGGAGGTGAGGAAGCGCATCCTGGTCGCCAAGCCGGGGCGGAGGACTGCCCGTAAAGGAACCGACGACAAAAGGAACCAGTCATCAAATACTTGAGTCACCGTGACTCCGTGACCACAGCCCGGGCTCGGGCTCCAGTTGAGGAAATCCTTCTTGGGCAAAAGAGTCAAAAAGTGGCCTCTCGCCTCTCGTCGACATCCACAGCGCCCCCGGCACGCAACGCCGGGACTTCAGAGGCCAGTAGCCTGGGCTCCACACCTGCAAAACAGGGGCACCGAAACCCAAGAACGGAGCGGGTGTGACAGGGAAGGGCTTGGTCACAGTGCGCTCCCAAAGCCCACCGGCTAGCGCACTTGAAGCCTACAGAATCAGAACACTGCCATGGTGAAAAGTGTACGTGATTGTGCTGGACTCCGGCAGTAGAACGGCTTGGATGGACAGTGCCTTTGCTGAGTTGGTCAAGGTGCAAGGCTGGGAAATGAAAAGGCGCATGAACTCCCGGCTCGGTTCGTGGTAGTGCTTCGCAGCAAACTGAGCACCAGCTGACTGCAGCGGCAGTCTAAGAACTCGACCCCACTGGCGGAAGGTGGCGACAACGTCAGCAGGGAAGTTCGGCCACCTGGCTTGCAGCTGCACAGCATGAACGCTCCTGCAGTGCCATTTTTCTCGCACAAGGCCACAAACTACCTGTACCTCTGGTGCCTGTGTAGCCGCTGCCGGCGCTCCACGTCGCGTGGAGTCGGGGGCTCCACGAGCAGCGGCTGCCTGACCTGACGCTGTTGAAACTCCTTCGAGCTTTCGAGTTCCAAGCACTGTGATGCTCGTCATGAAGCAGACTGGCGCAGTCCGCTGCAATGCTTGAAAAGTAGCCCGCCTCTGTACTCGTTTTCTCAGTTTGGGAAACTGGGAAAACTGCTACTTGGTATAGCTTTTAGATTGCATCGGGGAAACGGGGGAGGAAAGAGCCTCATGAAGGAAGAGCCACAGCCCCAACCAGTGCCAGCGGCCCATAGTCTAGAAGTCTAAAACTTCCGCAGTGATCCAGAGAAGAGGCGCCGTAGACTGCAGACGGAGTTAGAACGTGCCTTTCAGGTTCGTACTGCTGTTTTGGGAGAGGTAGCTGGAAAGGCGGCATGACCACAGAAAAACACCAGATGTAGCTAGGCTTGTCTTTCCGGGCAATGCACTCGTGCCAATAGAACCAGAGTCTTGGATTCCGGATCCTCTGAGCCAAACCCTTCCCGAACACATGCCTCGTTGGCCGACCACTTTTGATGTGAACAAAACCCTCAGCATCACTGAATTGCAACAGCTGGTGCCGGTTGCCGTTTTCTGCCTGAAACATGCTGGCAGCCAACTCAATGGCACGACATTAACTCGCATCATATCTTGGAATGCCTTCGGCATTTGGAGCCTGCAGCTTCAGAGCCATGTCACTGGCACTGGCAGGATGGATCGTGAGTGAGTGCCATTCTGTGAGAGAGTGAGAGAGAGAGAGAGAGAGAGAGAGAGAGAGAGAGAGAGAGAGAGAGAGAGACACACAAAGAGAGAGACATAGATGGTGCGTGTGTGTGTGTGTGTGTACATATGTGGAACATGTGCATGTTTTCTGCGAGCATCTCCCTTGCAGAAAAGATCGGAGATGTGAACAATGTAAACAACATCGTCAGCAAAGTGAGGCACCTAGTCGGCTTGACCCTTTGACGAAGCATGTGGCAGTGTTTGACGTGGAGTGCCTTTCCGAGACGAGTAATTAGTGAGTAGTACTGTAGTATTTGTCAAAAACTTCATGTCAACCCCCGCAACAGGCTCCACGACTACTGAGGAAAAACACGTCGACAAACCTGACGTGCGTGAAACCGTGCGCAGTTGAGCGTCGAGGTGGAGGTCTTCCAAGAAACTCCTAGTCCTATGCCCGGGCTCGGGGCGTGACAGAACCTCTCTAAGATATTCAAATCTCGGTCTCTCTTGCCGAGGATGCTCTATGAGTTTATGGGGCCTGAAGGTGAATGTTCAAGCACAGCCCGCGACAGCTCAGAACGAGCCTCAGCAAAAGAGTGGTTAGCAATGCAGAGACAACTTCGACGCCAACATGAAGCCCACAACGTCCGATAAGCTGCTTGAAAGCCTGCGAAAGACAACCCAACTAGATTGAACAGTCTCAGGCACTGCAGGCACCTCAGAGCTCGTGGAAGCCCGGAAGCGTCTCAGGCTCAACTTCCACAGCCTGGCTCTAAGGCTTTCCATGTTAAGAGTCCCGAACCTTCGCGTGATCCGGCTTCGATGAAGGGCTCTGCATGGCTACACGCAGCAGCTACTGTGCAAAGCGCCCGCCTTGCCCAAGCCAGGCAGGCTCCGTCCCGGCACTGGAACGGCCTGGCAGACGGTGCCGAGTCTCGCTGCGATGAAGGGCGCACGCGATTTGACTCGAGCTGCTTTCGTCGTGCCCCTTTGAGCATGGAAAAGCTGAGGCTTGGATCGGAGACTGAAGGCTGGCGGCCGTCGGCTGCAAGATCCGAGTCGGGGCCCCCAACGTCAGAACCACTTGGACAAATGACTGGAGATGTGCCCGGGATCTTGCACTGTGACTGCGGCTCTGGCCTTCTTCCCCCTAAAGCCAAGTGGGTTCAGGTCCTTCTCTCTGATCTTATTTCGTGCCTGCGGCTGATCGCAAGAGCAGAGTCCTCTGAGCTCAAGAAGCTTCGGAAATTGCCTTCAAATTCACATTCGGCATGCTCATCTCGGGGAGGAGTGTCACCGCGGAGACCTCACAGTCGCGCTCTGCACTTATGGCTCATGATCACAGGCCCAGGACTTGGGAGGCGGCCCTGCCGTGAAGATCGATCACTGGAAACAGCGTCCGACGGGGGCCCAGCGCCTGCTGCGAACACCAAAGGTTCGATCGGAGTTGCGCATCGTTCTTTCAGCATTGATCTCTTTGGGGGCAGCGTGAAGTTAGCCTAGAGAGTGCTGCAGCTGCGGGGAAACCAAATATAGGAAGCACACCATGCAAAGACAAACCACAGTTGTAAAGTAAAGCCTCCATGCTTTGCGTTGTTTCTGCTGCTGTGGAGAGATGTGCTTGCAACGAGCTTGGGAATCATTGTGTCACATTGTTCTACGATCACATGTCCTGGCTCCAACTGACCTTCCTCTGCTGCCGCATGCTGTCGAAGGCGATCCTCGAAAACTCTGCCAGGACATGGAAAAACCTGGTCGGCCAATATTACCTTCACATTGAAGGTGCAAACGAGAAGTTTGACCGCCCTGACTGCACCAACTATCTTCGTCGAGGCTTGTCCTAGCTGCTCTAGCACCAACGAACAACCCTGCATGTTCCAGAGAGGCAGCTTGAAGTTTACCCCATGTTTGTGCTCTGAAATAGACTCAAGCTCAAACCCTTTCTTGTTTCAAAGTTCCCCACAGAATTCGCAGTGCCGCTCCCGCTCCGCATCTGCCCAGTTGACAAAGACAGGAATGCTCAGGAAGAGAAACATCAGAGCTCACAGGAGCATCTCCAGCACAGGCCCTGGGCCTTTGGCTACAGGGAATGGGAGAAACCTTGAATATCTTGCCAGACCAGCCGCCGTCCCTTGGGGATGCGATGCGGTCCTAGTTAAGCCTAACTGCTTACACTAGCTCATGCGACAGCACGCCGGATCTTCACGATTAGCTCGTGTGCCTCCGCCACCCGGCCTTGCTGCTGAAGGAACCTCACGAGGTTCCCAGCAGACTCCATGGTGTCAGGATGCGAGACTCCATTTTCTTTCATAGACCTAGTCAGCTGTTCGCGGAAGAGCTCCTCTGCCTCTTTCATCTCTCCCGCAGACTCCAGCAGAACGGCCAGGTTGAACATCAGTCCAAGTGTCTGCGGATGCGAGTCCCCCATTTGAGCCTGCGTCCCGCGCAAAGCTTCCCGGTAGAGCGGGGCTGCCTCCTTGAGTTTGCCCTGGTCACGCAGATGGCGAGCGAGGTTGCCAGCGAAAGCCAGTGTTTTTGGATGGTCGCTGCCTAAGGTCAGCCGGCTTTTCTGCAGGGCCTCTCGGTACAGCAGCTCGGCTTCCCGCACTTGGCCCCGTGCGTGCAGCAGTCCTGCTAGATTGTTTAAGGAAGCCAATGTAGACGGGTGGTCATTGCCAAACTTGGCCCTTCTACCCTCCAAAGCCTCTCGGAAGAGTGGCTCTGCCTTATCCAGTCTTCCCTGAGCAGCAAACAGGCCTGCCAGACTATTGGCGGAGTTCAAAGTGGAAGGGTGATCCTTTCCGAGCTTGCTCCGCCGACCCTCCAAAGCCTCGCAATACAGTGCCTCTGCCTCATCTAGTCGTCCTTGAGATTGCAGTAGAGCTGCCAAATTGTGCATGGAGTTCAATGTTTCTGGATGGTTGTTGCCAAGCTTCGTGCGGCGGCCCTCCAAAGTCTCTCGGTACAACAACTCAGCTTCATCCAGTTCGTTCCGAACCTTCAGCAGGTATGCCAAGTCATTGAGGGCCCCGAGCGTTTCCGGATGGTGTTTGCCAAACCTTCGCCGGCGACCCTCCAACACCTCACGGTACAACGGCTCCGACTCCTGCAGTTGGCCACAGTCCTGCAAAAGTATTGCCAGATTTCCTGCGAAGAGAAGTGTGTGCTCATGGTCATTACCGAGTTTGGCACGGCTCGTCTTCAAAGCCTCTCGATACAAAAGCTCTGCTTCCTCAGGTCGGCCCTGATCTTTCAGCAGGGTGGCGAGGTTGCTCATGGTCAACAGAGTCTCAGGGGCATCATTGCCAAGCTTCTCCCGCAGGCATTCGAGGCACTCCTTTTGCAGCTTCTCGGCCTCAGCATGCTGGGCACGGCCTGCCAGCCTGCCGGCCAATTCGCTCATGCAGTCCAACGTGGCTGGACCTGCGTCCCCATCCGTGTCACGTAGCTTGCGCAAGCGGAGCTTTAGAAGCTCCAGCACGCTGTCAGCGTCAACCGAAGCGTTTACCACTTTGCCGGAAGTGTCAAGGCTCCTGAGGACCCAAACATCGCGAGCCCGATGAATAGCTCGGCCCTTGTAGTCCTCGCCTAAGCGGACCGGGCGCAGTTTCCCTGTGCTCGGATCCTGCGCTTGCGTCTCGGCAAGGTCAGGGGTCTGCTTCTGAAAAATGTTATACGCCAGCTGCTCGGGTGCAATGATGGGAATACAAAAGCCCGCGCGATGCCCACTGGGATTAGCATCGCCCCACTCAGAAAGGACACGAGCTTGCTCAGGATCATCCGCACGACAATCAGGGCTACCATTGCTGTAGTTGTTGAGGAGAATACGGACCCGCAACTCAAATGCAGAGGGCTCATGCTGGCTAGCATACACACCTTTGCCGAAATGGGCCCGACTATCAACGAGGGAAGCGAAGAGCTCTGTGCTACTCTGCTCGAGGTCACCAATGTTCAGGAAGGCCAACTCATTGGTGTAGTGGTAGAGGATGCGCACACCCTCCTTGCTGTCCGAAGACTGGAGGTCACGTAGATCGAAGGCATGACGCCACACATGCACAGCACCGTCAGGGGCATCATATCTGAAGGTCAAGAGCTCGCCGATAGAGTCCAGGGAGTACTCCAACCCTTCGTAGAGTTTGCCTTGCAAATAAGGCCCTAAAAAATACTGCGTGAGCTCCCCCGTGCCCTGCGCTAGGCTAGACTCTTGGAGATTGTCTGCAGTGGCCACAGGTTCTTGCAGCTTGGAATCCGAAGAAGCAGGGAGCTTTGCCACGACCTTGCCAGTGGAGGGCTGGCTACTGGTAGTAGATGCCACCGCATCGACCAGGCTACTGGCAGACGCTGTCGGTTCCTGGGATTCCCGTTCTGCAGTCTTGGCAGACGCGTCCGAGGCACCCGCTCCCATGTAGCCTAAAGAGAAACCATCGCGGCAGATGTCGTCTGTAGCTTGTGGGCAAACTTGCTGAAGTGCCAATCGCTGCTAGTCCTGTTGTTGTTCCAGAATTTCTTGCAGAGTCGTGATTTGATGTGGAACCGATGGGCTTAAGGCCTAGGCTTAAACTTTTGTGACATGGCGCAGAGCCTCTGCACAGCTGTCGCCTCACGAGGACCACGCTAAAACCGCTTGTTAAACTATGGCCCTGCTTGCCTTCCGCCGCGGGTTCAAGTCATTTCGATTGCCCTCCGTGAGGCTGGTGACAGTCCGAAGGACCTGCGAACCCACGAAGCGTTTCTGGTCGGGGTGAATTAGGATTCGGAGATGAGCAGGCACGCAGCAGGGATCGCATCACACGTTTGCCTGCTCACCGTTGACCCACACGATCAGGTCTCCCAAAGGGTTGATGTGGACCCCGACCTCGGAGGTGTGTCGATATCTCCACAGTCTGACTCGTTTGAACAGCTTTGGAACGGTGCAAATGCATGCAGACAGCACCCCTTCGGGATGCCCGGCCACGTCTCCCACGACCAAGGACTTCGGATCCCAGGCGGTCTGGGTGAACCATTCTCCGCCTCAACGTTCGGTACGAGCCGTAAACTGGACTCACAAATTGAAGATGTGCCCCTCTCATCGCATCCGAGCCCCGTGCTGTCGACGACATGCTTCCCGTAGCCGATTAGGATGGTTCCTGTGCAGGTGCGAGGGAAATCATTGGCGGTCGCAGCGTATGCAGGAAAATTTTGGTACAGCTCAGCATTGGGCCTGGGATTTCGTAGGCGTACATGGTGCGTATGCCGAGCCTCGGTGGAGAATATTTGCCAGATCCCGGCGACTACAGAAAGCAGCCATAGCCAAGCGAAGCTGGGCGTGCCGGCTTGTGCCCGCCCGGGAGGTGCGAGACGCCAAAGGCCAGGGACATGTCGCGGAGCGAATCTAGCCTGCAGCTCTTGCTTTAGTGGCTTCGAAGGGATGGTTTACGATAGCCAAGTACCGCGGGCTTGCTTACAGAGCGCGCGAGTTCTCGGCACCCTAACGTGTCCATACACGTGTTCGTCGAGTCAGTCTCAAGGAAGGTTTCTTGCTATCAGCTTCTATCAATATTCAAAGACTGAGCGCGTGGCGGGAAATGCTCATCGTCCACAGCGTCGATCTGCATGGAGCCAACACCAAAAACAATCAGATCAAGACTCTGAAGTTTTCAGCTCCTTCAAGCAGATCCCGAACACAAGGCACGCCATGTGCTACATGCATACATTCAGCATCAACGTCGGCCTTGAATGCGTAGAAGTACCCGGTGCACAACAGGTGACTGCCGCTGAAGAGGCGTATGTAGCCATTGCCGTAGACGACACCGCCTTCACAGTCCGCAAGACTGGCAGATCCATGACTTGATTACAAAGGGCTGACTACCCCGACACTCTCAAGCATCAGCAAACCAAAACTCGAAAAGGGTCAGCTGCGCCCTTGCGAAAAAAACAAGTCGAAATGTCGCTGCATCATGCACTCAGACTGACACCGATGATCGTAGTCGTCTCTGTGCCTGCGGCCAGCTCCGCGTCCCGCCGATGTGCACGTAGGTCACGATGGGAGATATGAATGTTCCAACTCCTGGACACGAAGTGCATATGCTGAAACAACAACATCACATCACGCTCGCCCCCCGCTTTTGCTACAGGCTGCAGGGCTCTGTCGGATTGTCATGCCCAAAGCTACAGGAAAACCGCGCAACGGAACGGCTGAGCGGGCAGCCAAGATAATTAAAAGCGAAACGCTGCGCGTTTGGACCCCACCTCGAGACATCCGAACTGTGTATTAGTATGTTAGCTCAGACACTGCTGGGTTCTCAGACCCCGAGACCCTCCATGCCTCCATGTGCCGAGGTGAGACTGAATCGGCAAGAAGCCGAAGCCGCCGAAGCCTGTTCTACGCCTACGCGATGACCGATTGTCCGGGTGAAACGTCGTGAAAACGCGATTTGCTCCGGGAGAAGGAAGCGCAGCGCACGGTGGTCTTCAGTGCCCCCTGGGCTTTCAGGAGCAGACGTCTCAGAGCTCTGCGTGGTTCTGCGAGCTTCTTGCCTTCGGGGTATCTTGTTGAACTTGTTGGATGACACTGCAACAGCCTTAAGAAGATTTGACATAGAGCGGACTGCCCAAACCCCGCTCAGGTTCAGAGCCTTCACCTGGTGTGGACAGTCATCATCCAGAGCACCATCATCGTCGAGGCAGTCGGCCCAAGCCAAGTCTGGGTGGTAGATCTGGCGCAGAAGCCGCAAACACAGCCTCTCCCCTCCTCTCGGCTGTCATGGGACGCTTGCAGGCAACAGCCTACAGCTTCAGGCGTAAGCACTGCAGCAGCGATCGCCAGTGGCCCGTGGCCGGCCTTGATCTCCAAGATGGTTCTCGGCTCGTCCGTAGCCGCGGTTGCCAGGCCTTGGAGGATAGGCCGCACGGCCGCTATACGAACTTAAGCATTCCGATCACCAACACTGCTACACCTCGCACATTCCACTTCAAGCCAGAGGACGATGGCCATAGCTGTCATCCAGCAGGACGCAGTGCCCTGGCCAAACAACAGCAGGCAACACAATCCCAGAAGACACATCACCACAGCTCACCTTTCTCTCACATCGCAAATTGAGCAAATCTCAACTCAGATCTTCATCATCACACAGCACTAGCCACGGGACCGACGGAACGATTCTGTTCGGACTGCGTGCCTCGACGCCACGTTAGCTCCTGGTCTGCGATGAACATGGTCACATTGCCTTTGGAGCTGAGGCATGCTGTTGCCCAGAGGCTCAGTGAGATTTCATTCTCGTGCAGTCTCCCGGTCGACTTGTCTTCGACACTCCCCTTACATGCTTTTCGGTCGACAGGTCGAAGCATTTTCCTGATTCGTGAACTGGCCCCGGCACTGTCGAAAAGTCTAGGTGATAAAACCATAGCACTCTCTGCAGCACTTAGTGCGGGCAGGTTCGCTTGAGGATTCATCACCGTGGCGCATGTCACAGTAGTGTAACAAATTGCAGTGTCTCGACAAAAGGTTCAGACCAGAGCTACCAATGGATAACCCTGTCACCAGAGAACAGTGCCCAGCCGAAGATGTGGGTCTGAAGCAACTCATAAGCCTGTGTAACCCAAGTCGGCCAGGCTGCTCGGGTTGTAAACGCCGCAGTGAATCTTGATGCGTTGGTTGGTTGCCGCAGTGTGGTCCATAACCTCCGAGGCGGAGGTGCACAAGGCATGGGCCCATGTCACTTGGCCGCAGAGGCCTTGGCATCTTGCTTCCGCGCTATCAGACCCTTGGCCGGCTTCCCTCAACTCCGTCGGGAAGCGCGTCTCAAGTCATGCGATTCGAGTTTGTTGGCCGAAATCAACACAATCACCGAGAAGTCCCAAAGATCCTCCAATCTGGCGTGGATCTCCAGCAGCCACAGTGCCTTCGTGTTGGGGTTCATGCGCGAGAATCTGGCGGAGAGCAGCGCTTCTCTCGCGGGCCAGATGTCCTGAATATCTTGGACCTTACCAGTCGAGATTAGTTGCCATCAAATTTCGATGCGGCTTTCCCGCTCCTTGGGGCTTCATGAAAGCCGAGACGCCAGATCGCACACCTTCGGATGCCACTTGGCGTCGCATTTGTCGTCTTGCCTGGGTCGGAGCATCCCGAGACCCTCGACTACATGGCCCTTCGGGCTTGCCAAGTCTTCAAGCTCACAATTCCCCGACGGTCTTGCAGTGCTCTTCCATGAGGGCCCAGGAGCCATATCCACGCAAGCTCCCAGTGACCAGCATTATGCAAGCCTTCGTCGTGCTCCTGTGGTGTGCAAACAAAGTCTTCAGATAGCCTGCTGAGACTACCAAATACAATCATGGCGTGTCAGCGCCACTCAGAAGACCGATGCAGGTATATTATGCGTGCGTGGTCGAACCTGGTCGAACAAAGAAGGGTAGGATTTTCGCAGGATTACACCCACGAGTCAGGCAGGAACTCGCAGGGGTCATCTGTCGTGGAAGAGCTTCGAAAAGGATTTTTCGTGGCACTTCGTAGAGAAGGACAGGGCCGGCCGTTTTGTGGTGCACCGCTTAGTCACCGCTCGCTTCAGTTTTCAAAACCCGAATCTCCAGTCTCCAGCACTCCCGGAACAATATCAAAACAGTTGATATGAGCTACATGAACTCCGTGAAGAATCCTCGAGGCGCCCGAGGCTTTCATACAGGTTTCAGAAAAGTCGAGAGCGCCTCCCAGGCACCCGCATCATTCGCCGCGGCAAACGCAGGGAGGATCACATCACTGAAGTTTCCTCAGCTCCGACTGATGGCGGAGCTGCGACGCGTTTCTGGTTGCGCAGGCCAGTTTCGAGGGTGCGGTACTGCTGCCGTACCATGCTCCCTTTCAGGCAGAGGGATTGCTTACATCCCGATCTGGGACCAGCTCGTGCAGGAAGCTAGCGTGTAACCTGAAATCAAGCCCGGCGGCCTTCCAACCATGACAATGCCGAAGCAGGTCCTGTCATGGAAACATGCGTTTCGAAAGGCGAAAGGTCTGCGATAACCCCACAACCGCCCTGCGCCTGGCCAAGGAACTTCCTGCGTCTCTGGATCGATCAGGACAAAGGGGGTCAGCTGCTCATTCAGCCTTCAATCCAAAGTGCAGCAGAACATGGATCGAAGGATTGCTCTCTGGGAAGCCGGCGCGCCTCTCTGTCCACTGGTGGGGGCTGGGCGTCAACCCGAGCTGGTACAGTCGCTGCGACACCCTCTCCTCGGGTAAGCAACAGTGGCTTCCGGGGGGATCTGAGCTTTGCAACTTTCACATCAATGCGAGTTTGGTTCATATGTCGTCTGTCTTGCCCCAAGCCGGGAAAGCCCTTACCCGAAGTAAACCTGGAAGCTGCCACGATAAGGATCTCCGAACATTTACACACCACTTTCAGGTGGCCCGATCCGCCTTGCAGAGTGCAAGGACACCCACGGAGCCCAAATTTCGATCCCAGATGCCATCAGCTCTCCGCGGCGAGGATGGTGCGGATGGTTTCGCGAAAGCCAGTCCATAACATCTACCTGGGTTCGGCGGTCAGCATCGATCAGGTTCCGTGCCGCCACGACAAAACTGCCGTGCTGCTTCGGGATCGCGATGCAACGATCTTGAGAAGTTGCCAGCTTTCAATGCTGCAGAACCCAACTTGACATCGCCAAGTACACCCGAGTGCTATGAACGGCATGTGATTAGGAAAGGGGCCGGCATGTCGGGCCAAGTTGCATGAATTTCGCGTGCATCCGTTCGAGAACGGTTCGTTCTCAAATCGCCTAAGTGATTAATGATGAATGAATCACAGCTCGGCACAGCGCAACGCATCGCAAGGACGCGGGCCTCCATTGACTTCTTTGAAGTCATTCCAGAGTTTATCGTCCTCGGACCGGTGCTCTTTCTCACAAGTCGGAGGCATCGTCCGAACCCAAACACGCAACAAACACCTCGAATGCAACGGACCTCGAGAATCCTTCTCTACTCTCAACTCTGTTCCGCTGACTGCAACCAGGGCTCAGGAATTTCTGCGTTTTCACCCTTTGTGAGATTTACCTCACTGCCAATAAGCCTGCAGTCAGGCTTCGGGGCTTCGCGCGTTGGGGCTCCCGGGTCTTGCCGGCTTTGAGCAGCTGGGTACGTAGGAAGGGCGTGGAGTGCAGCAGGCAGTCGGCATGCAGGTATGAGTCTGTTTCGCGTGAAGGAGACGAGTGAGGCAAGCAAAGGTTGAGGGAGTAAGTTAGAAGAACACGGGCAGGGGAATGCCAAGGTGGCGGGGACAGGGAAAGAGACATAGATAGATAGATAGATAAACAGAGAAGGAGAGAGCGAGAGAGAGAGAGAGAGACAGAGAGAGAAAAAAAAAAAAAACGGCGAGAGCGAGGGAGAAAGAACGACAAAGTGCGGACAAATTGCGTCTTGAGGTCCGCCAGTAGTTCCGCATCTTTTTGAGGATCCTTGGGGACGCAGCGACTGCTGAAACACTGCCGGCAATGTTGGGGCTTTGGCAGAGATCAAGCTTCAAAACAGACAAGCTGCCAGCGAAGCTACAAGGATGACCTGTGTCGAGTCGAAGGATGATTCGGATGGATCGGTCTCCACTGATCTTGAACGCTGGTTGCTGGTTGAATGATGGATGACATGAATTTGCAGAACTCGGGGAGGGAACCAAAGCTTGCAGCACGGCCAGAATAACATGTCACAAGACCAGACTGCACGATGATGACTTCCTGCAGTCGGGCTGGAGCGCAGGAAAAACGTAGACACCTTCGACTTGAATGCCAGTAGCAAGGTCTAAGCGGCCAATATCAAGCTCGATACAGTGCCAAAGGCAGATAAGCCCAGAAGGATGCCGGCCAGAGCCATGGGCGTCTCCCGACTAAAGGGCTTCAGGGCTTTGGATATATCGCATATCTCTAGCTAGATTTTTCTGCGAGCGACAAGCCTAAGGGTGGTCTGGTTGGGCCATCGCTGGGCCCTTCGGGGTTTAGCTTGGAGGCTGGAGTGCGCGGCATGGGGGATGCTCTACGCGAGTTCTCTCGCCATGGCGACAGTGCAGCTGCGGCAATCAGGCTCCATGCACATGATGTACATGATGCTCTTCCAATTGAAACCCCCATGGCCCGTGGGCTTTCTCTCATCACCTCGGCTCCACGGTTAAGGTGCCCAAGTCTCCGAAAACCCTGCACAGAAAGCGGCTCCTCCGCTGAGTGAACCAGGATGTCCTGAGCGACACCCACTTCTGCAATAGATCTGTGATGTGTAGATGACGATGCTACCTGTTATGGCTGCCTCGAATTCTGGCACTCTTCGCTTGGACGAGGCGCAAAGGCACGTGGCTTTTCTCGTCCACAACGAAGTCACCCTGCCAGGTTCTGTTCCTGAGCACGAGACAGCTTTGATAGGACCGTCGCGAAGATGCTAGGCACAGCAGCCCCACGCCGCTACCGGCTGGCGGGAACCGCGAGGCACCATCACGAACAGCTGAGATACTGCAGATGTGGGCGGACACACTGTAGGACTAAACGAACACATAGATCTTGAGGGCTTGGCAGTGGCCTGCGCGAGGTGACGGTGATTAGAGGGAGCTCGGTTTGCCTCGGCTCTCGCTTCTCCGAAACCACAGCATTCCATCACCTTCTGCACGTGTGCATAGGTGTAGACTTGCGATGCCGACAACACGCCGATGCAAAGCGTCCCCTAACTACCTCTTAAAGGAAGTTGAGCGCCCGGGCTGGCTCCAGGGCTTCGCCAAGTCCGGGGCCGACCTGGTCCGAGAAGGCGAAGGAACAGATAGGAACAGAGGAGAGAACCAAAGGCAGAGGCAGGGATAACAAACATAAAAAGCAAAAAAGAAAAACTCTGAGGAGCTTTCCAGTATTTCTTTTTTCGTTTTCCACAGGAAGGTTTGAGGTTTACACGCTGTTAGGGTCTTGGATTCAGGGTCTTGCTTCCAGCACCTCCTGCAGGCAATGCATTGTGTGGGGTCTCGGGGTTGCAGCAGCAGTTGGTCATTGTGTTTGCACTGCACGGCTTTGACGATGTAGGACTACTTTATCACCAAATACTCCTTTCTGACTCCTATAAGCGTTAAACCGTTAAACCCTATCCAGCTGCAAACCCTGAACCCCAAAACCCACAGCGCAACGAAGAAACCATGAGAAACACAGCTGCATAGCTCATTGTGAACCACAGACGCACATAAGTCGCTTGGAGCTGAGCCGCGCCCGGCAATAACAATAGGCTGTCAACTCTGTCCCTTTACTCTGGGGTCCGGCTGTGCCGCAGGCACCAAACGAGTTCATGAGGACTGCTGAGCCACCAAGGGCGAGGCGCGCTCGTCAGTTTGGTATCCTGAGGGCTGTCGGAGATCGGTGGTGCATGAGACGAAATGGTGCTTTTGGACAGACCCCAAAAGTCTTGAACTCAACCTTATCCGCGTCGGACCTGCGACTACCACTGCTGCTGCTGAGCTGCTCGTACTCATCCTACTGCTTCTCCTTCCCCCTCAGCTTGAACTTCCACTACCACTGCTATTACTGCCACTGCCACGACTGCTACTCCTGCTACTGCTGCTACTGCTGCTGCTGCGACTACTACTACTACTACTACTACTACTACTACTACTACTACTACTACTACTACTACTACTACTACTACTACTACTACTACTACTACTACTACTACTTCAAGCTATTGACGACATCTCGAAATCTCTGCTCACAGGAGCAAGCTGCAAAACCCCTTCGCACAAGATGAGAAACGTCCTGATTGAGAACAAGAATACAATACACGAGTTCCTGCATCAAAGGCCCCTTCAATCCCGCAGCTCCTTGCCGAACTTTGGGCTGGGGATCTTCGTCTCATCCTGAGGCGTAGCTTCATCGGCTGGAGTCGAAAGTGACATTGGACAACAACATCTGGAGAAGAAGACTTGCTGTGTTTGCTTCTGGTACTTCATAATTCTATTGAAATGGCGTCTGCTAGCTCCAGACAAGTCTTGAAGTTTTAATTGAAAAAAGAAAAAGAGCGAAACTACCGCTAGAGTAGAGACTCATTGAAAGTGAAGTTCAGAAAATGTGCCCCATTATTATCTGTATCGATCAAGCTGTCTTTAAATCTTGTGACTTTGAAACTCATGAGATTTCTATGTGATGAATATTTCAGAACCATGCTATAATCGATGGTTTACTTGATTCGATCAATTTAAACACTGTTTGCTTGAATGTGTTAGTCTTAGAGTCATTCTTGATGGGATGATAATTGGATTCAAGTCAATATCAAGTATTTTTAGGAATAGCAGAATGATAGATTGATGGGAAGATAGGTAGAAGACTCTGATAGTTGAGTTTCCTCCTTCAGTCTCTCCGTTAATCGTAGCATCAATTAGGCCACGTTCGAGACACTACGGTTGGCACATCATGCCTCAGCAGTACTTAGAAGCAGCAGTCGTCGTCGTCGTGGCAGTAGCAGCGTCGTCGTAGCAGCGGTAGCAGGAGTACGTGGGGATGAAGCTGCCTTGTAGACCGTGCTGGGGCGGGAGAGCGAGGGCGGCGTTGCGGACATAGCCGTGGCTGGGGGCGGCTGCCTCGAATTTGCAGGATTCGGCCGTACCCACCATGCGTAGATGGGCACTTGCAGCGCCTGCGCACCATGCCGATGCTCCATCGCCGGCTGGGGCCGCGCGTGCCGGTGCCGTCACTGGGCGCAGGTAGTGTAGGCAACATCCACCAGAAGCAAGGAAAGATGTTCTCAGGGCTGGATTCCGGCCTGCACTTAGTTGATGATGATTCTCTCAGCGGTACCGCTATGGGATCTAGATGAGCGTCAACATGTCAAGTTGACTTCAACTCTGACCGGAAGTCCCCAACACCACCTTGCCTTTGCATCCGCTTGGCATTCCTGGCATCTGCGTTGCTCTGGTATGCCAACCTCGGCAGATTGCAGATCCGTTTGAAGGCTGTGCCGAATAAAGTCCCAGCATGAGCCTGCTTCGCAGGAGTCTGCTAGCTGCAGGCAGCCAACCTTGCAATCCTTCGCATATAACTATGGGCTATGACATAACATGAATTGACATGACAGACACAGAGGGAGAGAGTGGGAGAGAGAGGGAGAGAGATAGCTATCTGTAAGCTTATATGTATTGATAATAGGAATGTATATGTCTAAGGCTATGTAAGGTAGCGTATGATGGAACAGCTACTCCATGAAGAGTCAAGCAGCTTGTTCTGCACAGTCATGTCCTCGTCCTGCGCACAGGCATGCAGCAGAAGTCAGACAGACATGACATCGAGACTCTCGACAAATGCAAGCGACAGCAGCATGCACAGATTCCTAGCCCGTGCATGGAATGGCCAACATAATCTCTCCTCGTCCCCGCTCAAGGCCTCCACCGATCGCTCAGGATGGTTGAAATACCTGCCGCACTGTGCACCGACTCGGATTGCTCCAGACGATGTCCATGATGCGACTTTGATTCTCACCCAGAAGAGCTTCAGAGCTTCCACAAAGGCTTTGGATGTCAGACCGGGGAGTCAAAACTCGACGGCTTTAGCACCGAGCAATTCGCTGCCAAGGACGCGCGCACCTTTGGGCCTTGCGAAGCTTCCGCATCCGCAGCGAGGTCTCCTGCGACGTGGGGTCCCTGGCTTCTGGCAGGGTAAGCCCTGCTTCTAGTGAGAGCCCTGCGACAGCCATAGTATCGAAACCGAGTCCTCGTCCGTTTCGGGATCCATGGCCTTGGGGGCTGGGGGATCAGGTCCAAGGATCGTAGATTATACCGTAAATAAGGCTTTGAAAAAGCTGACACGCACTGCAATGCACGTCCACAGAGACTGGATTCGCTCCAGGATTTCCTTGCGCTGCGGCATGGACAGGCCCTGTGGCTTCGTAAGGTGACCAAGTGAGCAGGGACCGTAGATTGCTGCACACACGATGAGCTTCACAAGAGGAGGTTGAATCAGTACAGAGATGACGAGACGGGGAAGCTCTGGTGAAGACATGCAGCCACCCAAACTTGCAATGGGAAGAATGTTCAGCCTACTGGCCATGCATTGGAGTCAGGTCATCACAACACATGGAGCCCACGATATCCAAAACGTCAACATCACGAGCTCATCACGGCCGTCGCTTTGCCGGCACTACCCAGGCCCACACGATCATCTCCATCTTGAGTGCAACCTGCAGTCATGAACTGAGGTTGGAGCGTCTGGGGCTCCATAAAAAGAGGAGAAAAACATCGGAGGTTCCAGCTTCACTGAGCTTCACTTAAGCCCCCAGAATTCCTAGAAGGAGATCTGAGTCTCTTTTGGCGAAGCCCAGCCGCCAGCCCAGGCCCGCCCGGGCCGGGGCCTCCAGAAGCTGCTTCTTCGTCTTGAGCACTTCCGCGCGGAGATCTGAGTCACGTTTTGGAGACAAAGAGAAGGCCGCCCAAGCCCAAGGAATGTCACGAGGAGCGGCTTAGCTTCTGGTGAGAGCCTCCAGCTTCGGGGCAGCGCAACACAAAGGCAAGCACATCTGAGGACTCAGACGATTCTCCATGGGTGGCTCTGCGATCACAATCTTCTGAGCCTCCTCAGCTTGCCGCGTCTGGGAGAAGAGAAGCACCTGAACTCGCCAGTTTAACTGAGACCAGCGCAGGCCGCAGCCTCAGGTAGGAGGCAAACCTCAGCCCGAAGCTTCGGAAGTGGAAATACCCGAGCTCAAACCTTCGACCAAGAAGAACCCAACTTGGGACAGCCAGGGAACGGATTCTCTTCGAATTGCACAGTCGTGCCGTCCAGGCGGTCGACCTCCGTCACATGTTCGGAATGAATTTGAGCGGCAGCGGCATCTCTCTCGTCCCAAGCCGTAGTGGGCAAAAACCAAAGGGAACAGAAGGAACTAGCATCACTCTGCCCATGAATCGCTGCAAGGCCAGAGCCCTGGCTGAGGGCGCTGCCTCAAACGGAACATCCTCCCCCTGCGAACATTGGGTGACTGGTCGCTCTCTTGGACATGGCGTTGTGGTTCAAGTGGCTCCAGATTGGCTGAAGTTTCTGCTACGTAGTGGTGAAGCGCGATAAGAAAGGGTAAAGGGTGTCGGTGTGAAGGCTCCACGACACGCAAAAAAGCTCAGGCCGCAGAGCAGAAGAGCTCCCACCGGCCTTGCCCTCCAGTGATGGGAAGTCCTGGCGATGCGAGGGAGGAGGAATTTGAGTCAAGACTGCCCCCACTCATTGCATGGAGCACAGATGCGAACATCCCATTACACTTCCTTAGAAGCCCAAAAAAAACAGAATTCGATAGACATCGACAGTCCGCGGAACTCTGGGTGCGCGGCCTTCACCGGCGCCAGAGGGGAGGCACAGAGGCTTCTCAATCCCTCCCAGGTGCACCAGACTCATAATGACTCATACATGGTCACATGATGTCACATGCCACAGGGTTGGGGCTCCCACTCACCCAGTGGCAGAGGACTAGCAAAGGGTGTCGTGCAGATGGAGTGAAGCCGACTGATGGGGGCTGTTTCGCCTCCAGCCGTTCCAGAGACGCAAAGCCTGGGCAGTGCTAGAGATCTTCTTTGTGCTTGAAGCCAAACTCACCCCCGCAATGATACGTTCTTGCATGTTTGCTGAAAAGTAGGCGATTGGTTCAAATCACAAGTCTTGGCGCACGCGTCCCCTGCGAACCTGATGCACTGGTCGGGTCTAGTCACACAAACTTTCCTCCCCCCCACCCGACCTCGTCCCCTCGGGAAGACAAGACTAGCCGACTAGCCCAACACTCTCAAGTACTGTGTATGTACATCAAGTAAAGTACGACTCGCCCACACGACCCTTCAGACTTTCGACCTGTGCGCACAGTCGCTGCAAAGTATGCACACTGCGCAAGTACGCTCAAACATCACTTAGATGCATGCGCACGCGCAGCACGTCAGAATCAACCCGACATCGCATCGGCTCGCAACGTGCGCAGTTGAGCCACTCTGTCAGACATTGCGTTTGTCCAAAACAACCAACGGACAAGCATTCGGAAGCCAAGACAAGCTAGCAGAAAAAACTGATGGACAAGTGCTGAACACATCACACGCTAGCAACCACGCCGAAGAAATCCTGCGAAGCCCTGGAATGGAATATTCCACCTGGACGACTCGGGCAAAGCAAAAAATCTATAGAGACCACCTTCGCTCCCAAGCTTCTCATCCCGAGCGGCTGTTCCGACTGCTACGGCTGCCGGGCCGAATGGCGGCCTTAGCTGACCATCTGAAGCTTGAGAAACAGCCTTGACAACTTGAGGCAAGTCGGGGGTTTTTGGGCTATGGCTATGGCTATGGTTTTGTCGACTGTATGCTGGCTTCAACAAAAAATTTTGAAGATGACAAGACCTGTCAGTACCACGCAGTCTGCGGATCCATGACACTGGGCCACGCAACATTCGAAGGTGTCCGGATCTCGAGGAAGGCTGCGAAGGGATCGCGCCACTCTGGCAAGTTGACATGGTGCATGACAGCCAGCGGGCTTGGGATTACCTGGGTTATCTTGGATCCTGCAGCTCATGCTCGACTCTATGCACAAACCCAAGCCGACAGGTGTCATCAATCGAAGTCGCATTTTTGTCCAAAGCTTTGGGGTTTTAGCTTGCAGCAAACACCGAGTTTCGATGATGCTTGACCGCGGCAGTAGACTGTGAAGATGCAGGTCGACGGAATTAGGGTTTAGGGTTTAGGATTCTTACGCTGCATGTCACCTATTCCAGCTGTTGATAAGCCCGTAGTCCTTACTACTGTTGTTGTTGCCAGGCAACATCGAAGTACCCCCAAGGCTGCAGTGTTTATTCGATGCACTGGGTGATGTGAATATGGTATAATATGGGGACTCGGGAAAGGGTGCAGCGCTCCCGGTCTCAGGTTCTATGGCGAATCAGGTGTCCGGGTCGAGGATATAGGTTTGTGTATATGACATGAGCTTAGCATGATGACACTTTTTTTTTTCTCTGCCTGCCCGCTTTCAGGCCTGCTATATACAGCGACTTGTTCAAGTGCTAGAGAGTGAAACTCGTTGCTGCCGAGACTCTGACCCGAAACCTTACACCCTAAAATTCAAACAGGATCCCGATACCGCGGCCGAAAGCTTTCCCATGCATTTGGCGAGGGATTTTAGGTCTTTGGCCTGTGGTAGTAGACTCTACATGGGGTTTCCGAAAATAGGGGACCCCAATAATTATGGTATCCTAGATAGAAGGATCCTTATTATAAGGACCCCCAAACCCCTCATTGTTGGAAACTACCACATAGAAACCCCAGGGCCCTGCAAGTCTCCGCCAACGTATCAAGGCATGTCGCTGAGTTTGCTCGAGGCGTCCGTCAAGGTTTCCAGGTCCGCCAAGCCTGAGTCTTGTACGCCCCTAAACGCTGAAGCCCAAGCCCTGAACCCCGCATCGGATTTAGATCAACAACCCACGTCTGTGGGCCGGTTTCGGTTGAGTTCAGGGTTGATGTTCAGGTTTCAAGCTTATAGCTTAGGTCTAGTATTTAGGGTCTTTTGGGAAAGGTTGTAAGTGCTCTTATGCGGGGCTAAGCAGGCGAGAATGCTGAGACTCTGGCCCAGCCGTGGTACTGCATCAAGGTCTGCTTGCAGGCCTTTCCGGGCACCCTCTGAACACTAAACCCCAAACCCCTCAACCTACGCACTGTTAACTGCCGAGGGTTTTTGATAAAGGGTTTCAAGATGTCCGGTTCAAAGGTTCACGTGTTCGGGTCTGGGGTTTGCGGTTCACGCTTTCTGGGGTTAGGGGTCGGGTTGAAGGATGTGTCACAACTGTTGATTCAAGACAGATTTTCCTAAACCCCACGCCCTTCGCTCCGTGAACCCTCAAACATTAAACCGGAGGGTTTGGAGGTTTAGGCGGGTTTAGGGTTGAGGGTTTCTATTTTAAAGCGCAATGCCTTATCCCAGTCGCCAACAAATCCACTCCTTCAGGAAAGTGCGGGAATACCACTCTTCAAGTACCCCAGCAAGCAAAGAAAAGCGGACACTCACACTCGGTAGTTTCGGGAAACTTCCCTCAAGCCCCAAAACCCCCCTAAGACCTGAATCCTCCCAAACCCTCAAACCTAAAACTGCCTAAACGTGCCAAAACCCACCCTCAACCCTAACCCCTATGCCCTAACCCAAACCCTAAACCCTGGACCCTCAACCCTAGCCCCTAGCCCCTAACCATGACATCTCAAACCTAAGCATACTTACCCAGACCCCCGACAAGATCCCAAAAGTAGATTCCTTCATGGGGGTTCCTATAAAGTACCGCTAGCAGTATAGGGCCCAAATTAAGGGATACTTTCTAGATCCTAAAACCTAAACCCCTAAACCCTAAACCCCTAAACCCTAAACCAATAAACCCTAAACCGTGCTTTCTAGATCCTCCCGAGTAAACTCGGATCTGCAAGAACCTCTCCATGCCCGGCCTGTCCGACCTAAGAGCCCAGCAAGCCAGCCTCGCGGGTCCTCAGGTTTAGGTTTTAAGGCTTTGGTGTTTAGGGTTACGGGTTTCGGGGTTTGGGTTTAGGGTTTAGGTTTTAAAGCTTGGGGGTTTAGGGTTTAGGGGTCTCAGGGTTTAGGAGTTTAGTCTTTAAGGGTTTACGGCTTTAGGGCATGGCGATCAAGGTTTAGGGTCTAGAACACTCTGTGTTTCTAGAGCGAAGGCTCCAGATGATGCAATGAACCCACAACAAGCAAAAGCGCATGCCCGTCACAAGTCGTCGTCTCTGGCTCTGACACGTCCCTCCAACACCACAACAAAGACAGCCCATGCCCTAGCAAATCGTTCGTACCCGTTAGGTATCTCGTGACATCATTTTCACCACGACAAAGACAAGTCCCACTCATGACAAAGCTTGCCACCTGCAAGTGTGGCACCTTCGAGCTCAAAACACGCACGCCTACGCCGCAACAAAGCGTCAAAGCCTATCCCGTGACTGTCCAACAAGAACAAGCCAATGTCCTTAGCGAGTCTTCTCTGGTACATCCCTCCAAGTTCATAACGAAAACAAGCCCATGACCGCAGCGAGTCGGACCCTGCTTGTCTGGTACCAGCATCATCTGTTGCACAACAAAGAACAGCCCTCGCCGGCGGCAGATCGTACCCCCATCTGTCTGGTATCTTCAAAGAACGAAGCTTCGCTGTGCGCTTCGTTTCAATAAAACACTTTGGAAAGCAAAGCTTCGCTTTACCACACGAAGCGTCGTTTGCTGAAAGTTTATGACGCGATCCCGTTGAAAGCTTTTGGGGTAGGAGGACCGAAGTTTCCATTTGTTTGTAGTTTGTTCACAAAGCTCGAAAGGCTGACAGGCTTTTGAAGAAGGTTTAAGGGTAATCACATGTGAGAGGAGATTCAATTAAATGAGTTTCAAGGCTGAATGAAGGTTTTTAAGGGGGAGGAAGGTCATGTTTAAAACCTGGTTAAGAAGGTTCAAGTTAAAGGAAATCTGGTTTCAGAGTGGTTTTGAAGCGGACTCAGTAGCGGAGGGAGCTAAACAAGGTTCAAGGGAGGTTTGACTGATTGAAACGTGAATACGTGCTGAAGGGCCCACAAATCCAAGCAACGGTTTTGAAAGGGCCTTGAAGCGCTTAAGAATCGCAAATCCAGAAACTGATTTGAAGAGAGGCTTGCAAACGCGTTTAAGTAGCTTTTGTGAGGAGTTAGAAACTAATTACTTGGACAAGGTGTGAAAGTCTTGAAAAGGTACCACATCAAACATGTTTGACTCGGTCAAGGCCTCTCAACACCCCAACATCCACTCGAAACCCGATGAACATCTGCTGAGCACGCGGAACCTGAACCTTCGCGAAGCCTATACAAACTGAACCCATAACCGGGAGCTTGCTGCCAATGTGCGATTAACCCACGCCGGAACGTCTGCCACTTGCAGAAGTCCGCACACCTGCGTGATTGTGGGTGCCGACAGACGTCAGGAGCCAGATCTCGATCAGCAAATCTACGCATCAGGACTAGTGATCATTGTCGAAGGGTCTAGGGTTTAGGGTTTGGGGCTCCCCGGACAACAGCGCGGGCCAGCCTGGCTAGCGAAATTTATACAGTTGTTCCGCAGCGGATGGTAGTCCCGGCCCAGCCACTTGCACTCCTGTCGCTTGCACATGTCGTTGCAACCATGCTTTTCTAGCTGACAACACATGACAAAGCTCCTCCCTCATGCATAATTATCCGTGCAGAATTAGAAACAGTCGGACACCGAAGGACAAAAAAAGGCTGTCCTAAGCATCGAATTTGTCTTGTTGCAGCAGAGCATAGAGGCATTTGTACAGGGCATCCCGCTCTTGCTTGGAGAGCGTCGTTGAGCCCCTCCAGTAGGATCAGGGAATTACTGCACGAGCGAGCTTCAACAGCCCTTATCCGTTGTCTCAACCAACACTGGCATCTTCTTCACTTCAACGGAGCCGTCAGAAAGGCATGAGCCGCTCTTGGCAGCAAGCCACAGCCGTAAGTCCACCTTTCATCTACAACAAGACTACGACCTCCGAACACGCCCCAACCCCCGGGATCCTGGCTGCAGTCTCAGAATTTCACTTCGGCTGACACTGGCAATGAATAAACTGAAAAGCGATTGCTGAAGCAAAGGGCATGCAGAGAAGGTCTTTTAAATTTCGGATGATCTGGCACGACGAAAGGACTGTGACTACTAGTTCGAAAGGCATCCTCTTTCGTGACAAACGGGCTTCATCGTTGTGTTTCATGCAAGCCCAGATAGACGGTTGAGTCGTAGATGCCATAGATTGCATCGCGAGTTCGTGCGCCTAGTTATTGTGACATGTAGAGGAGAACTGTCTGCTTACTTGGAAGAGTTAGAACCACCTTTTCTCACTGCCGAGGCACACAAGCAGGCTCTCGCGGAAGTGGTGCTGCTCTGCACCGCGGGGCTGGTGGCGGCAAACGCCGCTTCCAGCCAGAGTGGCTCCAAAGGCCCACCTTTATATTACATAGTATATATATATATATATATATGTAATCTGTATATATATATATATATGTACTAAATATTATATAATCGATAATATAGATTGCACAATTTCCAGATTCCCGACGCGAGCCAACCCCGACTAACCCCTGACTAAGCCGCAAGTCCACAGACCTGAGACTTCCTTAACTCTCGGCGTATTATCGCAAATGCTGCTCTTCATCGTGGACGCTGGAAGCCCTGACAGTTGTAAGATCTGCCCTGATGACACATTCGACACAAGTCTTCGTGATGCCTCCGCTTTCATGGTCTACATCATCCACCGAGAGAACCTCGACTCACTATACTTCAGCAGCTCAGGCACTCCTCATCTCCCACTTGCACCCCGACGTGGAAGAGCCCCCCGAGCTTCACCTTGGATTCAAGCAAGGACTGTTGGCTTGGAGCCACTGTGGCACATGCTAGTGAACACATGCGATGCCGGCTCTCACGTGGCTTCCAGCTACATGT